CCACACACCACACACCACACACACACCTTATCTGATGGGCATCCACCCAGGGGTGGGATTCAGCCAGTTCGCACCGGTTCAGGCAAATTGGATGCTAATTTTGCATATGGTTTGCCAAATCAGTATTTGGAAGGACTGGCTGGCCCGCCCCTCCTCGTGTCCACGCGACCCATTCATCATGCCAGGTAAGTGCAGGGCCCGCGCAGAGGTTCTGGGGTGTGTGTGTGTGAAAAACGGGCCTCTGGAAGTCCAGAAATGGGCGCCTTTCCAGCCTTCGGAGCCCGGGGAAGTCCGTTTTCGCCCTCCCGAAGGCTCAAGACAAGCTTCTGGAGCCTGGGGAGGGTGAAACACTCCCCCCCCCCATGGTGCAGGAGGCTGAGTAGGCCACGCCCACCACAGCCACGCCCACCCATCAACCTGGCAGAGAACCAGTTGCTGACATTTTTCAATCCCACCCCTGTATCTGCACCCCCCACCCACCCAGCAAGCGACAATGTTTAAAACTGCTTGTCGTACAATTCGAACACTTGAACACTTCGCCTTACCGTTCGATAACTGTCATGGCCCCTCCGTTGTCTTCAGTTGTCTCTACGCCCTCCTTATCTATGAAAATACTATTGGGTGCTGAGGAGGAGGAGGAGGAAAGATGAATTATCCTAAATAGGATGGGAATATTTTCCTGGGCTGAAGAGGGGAGCTTGCAAAAGTCAGCGTTAGTCTGAAATGCAATTATTTCAGAAAGGCTCCAGTTTTCTTCCGTGGGGCAAAAAAAGTTCCGCAAAAGTTTGTGGAACTTACTGATATATATATTTTTTTGTTTATTAACACCAGTGCTTTTATTTTGGGCGGGACAGGGGAAACCCTTCACTTTTCTGCAGTTTTAAATTTTTGCATTGCAGGGGAGGACAGGGGGAAGGCAGGTGGGGGGGGGGATAGCGATCAAATCCTTATCCTTGAAGGACTCACAAAGTCCAAGGTGATGGAATGGAGGGCTCCCCCCAATTTTTCCCTCTATGGGAGTATCTCAATTGCTAAGTGTCTTCAGTGCAGCTTTGGTCTGTCCCAGAGGTGGTGGAATTCCAGCTGTGGTCAAAACTGGCTAGAGATTCTCGGAAGTGCCAACTTCTCTGCAAGAGGCCAAATTGGGGCGTTGGGGGGGGGGATGAAACTTTAGCAGATCTTTCGGAAGGGAAAAAAATACTTCTGGGATCTGTTTGGAGGAATAACGGGGCACGNGAGACCATTAGTTCACTTCATTGGTTCGTGACTCTCCGAGGCTCCTTGCCAAGTTTTGCAGAGATCGTCCTGGCCACTCTTCAAGCCAGATGAGGTCTGTGACTGTAAATCCTCCCTTGAAAGACTTTGCTGGATATGAATGAGCAGAATTCACAACCAACTAATAAAAGCGGTTTTTGTCGGGACCAGGAGTTTGCTTCGTGCTCTCGGGAAGCCTCGGTCGGAACATGTACCGTATTTTAAATTTTCTGGGTGCGGGTGTCTGGTGTGACATGGTTTTTCTTTCCATTTGCAGGCTGCCATGATAAAGCTGTCCTGTTGTATGAATACGTAGGGAAGAGGGTGGTGGATCTTCAACATACAGAAGTCCCAGATACCTACAGGGGCAGAGGAATCGCAAAACATCTGGCCAAGGTATGGATTAGCCTGGTTGCCCTTCCTGAAAGAGATACAGGAGGTCTTCGGGGGGTGGGGGTGGTGTGGATTTCTGCTTTCCCATTTAATTAATTCTGTTGTCTTTTTTCTGAATATACCCACAACGATTTACATACCATGCAGGGAATGTAAAGGTTTTGTAGGTGAAGGAGTAGCCAAACCTGAGGGGGCGGAGTCAAAAGGGGAATTGGCTTAGAATCCCTACGTAGTCACCAGCGGACTAAGTCCCACCTCCCTTGAATTCCGTGGATCCTGATTGGATCCTTAGTTGAGAAGATTTATTTGCATAAGCAAGAGTATCAATAAATCAATATAATTGGACCTTCCTGTGTTCATACCTGACAGGTTGTTTCTTAGAAGTAGCAATTACTTAAATAAGAACCAATGATTATTATAATAATTAACATTGTTCATTCACTGTTTAATATTTTAAAGTAATTGTTTAGCATACCTCCCAATTAATAAATAATGAATAGATGCCTTAATAATACAGCCGTACCTTGGTACTCAATTACTTTGAGATTCATGGAACCTGGCGCACTGAACACAGTTTTGGGGCATGTTAAAGTCTAGTTTTAACCTTTTTCAACCTGGACAAATTTAAGATATACGAAGTTCAATCCCAGAATTCCTTGATGGCTGGAGAATTCTGGGAGTTGAAGTCCACACACCTCAACGTTGCTAGGATTGAGATACATGGATCTAGCTAATATTTTGCCAGTTTTTAAGAGTACCACTAGTTGTTGTTTTTTTTTGCAAGAGACGCGGTGGCTCAGTGGCTAAGACGCTGAGCTTGTTGATCAGAAAGGTTGACAGTTTGGCGGTTCAAATCCCTAGTGCCACGTAACAGAGTGCCAGCTTCTGCCAACCTAGCAATTCGAAAGCAGGTAAAAAATGCAAGTAGAAAAACAGGAACCACCTTTGGTGGGAAGG